GAATGAAACACGTCAGACATTATGCAGGGGACCAGACCTCCTGTCATAGACAGAAAATAATCACGTGAAGTTAACATTGTTTATTTTTAATAATATGTCAAAAATATTTTTCTGTACCCTTAACCACTTGGTAGTTGCAATAGAATTTAAAAACGCTGACATTAGACTTTCTCGTCATTGTATGTGTACACCAGTATGTTGAATTATTGTCCAATAATATTATTTCTCGTCTGAATAAAGGGTTAAATATGAAAGTTATTTGCAGTTCTGTGCAGACAGCTGCTGAATGAGGAGTGAAACATGGTCTGAATTTACATCAACAATGAAAACTGAATGGTGTCATCTAACCCCCACCTCTAATAACATCATTTATCAAAACACATCATACAATCTTATCAACTGTCTCTTTGAATACTCTCTTGCACCTTAGATCAATATTTAAGTGTATATTGTAAAGCGGGAGAAGAAATGACAAAGGCACTCTTAAAGTTTTTTATAGCTTTGATATTTCTTATGAAGTAGAAAATCTAATTCAGTTTCACAAAGTTTATATCAGGTATGCAAAGCAATGCGCTCCCCTTCGAGTTACTTTATAAAATCAGTTGGAGATCATTTCCCATCAGTCACGACTAGAGTTGTCTAAAATAGAATAAAACAATCGTCCTCCATACCCGTCATTACAATTCACACTGCATACTTGCTACTGAGGAGCAGACACAAGGAATTAGACTGTTGGAGTAGCCATTATGTGATTAAATTACCATTCATAATTTTGCTATCTGGTGCTTTTAGCTTGGATGGTTGCCTGGTTAAACAGGCCGCCTCTTCCCACAGAGATATCCATGTTATGTATTGTGCCATCATTTATTCAAATAGCTGTTTTTAGTACTTTGAGTATCATTTGGAAGCAGGAGAGAGACATGATATCTCCAGACTGCCACATTGCCCTTTTATTTTAATAACTTTGAGGATTTGGCTAGTTGTCTGCATCTGTGGTATGGATCATGTTATATTTCCAGCTACAGAGAATAAACCTTCAAACCTTTCTTTGAGTCGGGGAGATTGGGTCAAGTATTAAAGTGAAATATTGAGTCCAGCAAGCTTGTTTTAGCTTGGCTGTTTTTATGAGAGAAAGCAATGATCCTTTTAATTTCTTTGTCGACATCATAAAGGACTCAATAAGTCACCTTTCAAGGTTTTGGCATTTGAGTTTTAGATGTCAATTTTTCTCGCTGTAAATGACATATTAAATCAAACGGTACCTCTGCGCCATCAAACTCAGCTGATGTATTTCTCGCTGCATGGTTTACAAAAACAAGTCACCTTCAGGGAAATGAGCTGAGGTGTATTCATCGCCGACACGGTCATTAAACTCTCCCAGCCCCATGCTGATCAACAAACTCTTGCTTTATAACTCACAAGTCTTGGAACAGAATTGCTATAGACACCCAAATTGGATGGAGTTAGTTATTCTAGTTTGGGAGAAAATAACTTTGTCAAAAAAGTTGATTTAAATGTCACCCAGGGGGCCCATAAATCACTTATAATACCCCAGACCTCCATTTGTCTCGATTCTCTTGTAAGCCAGTGATTTGTAGAGGGCTCCGTCTTTGTCAGCTCTTGAGGGCTATAGTTTGTCTAAGCTCGGAGACTTCATGTTGTCGCAATCATAAATTAGATTGGTTCTATTTTCTTATTTTATTTAATCCATACAGAGATCATCTTTATCTTTTGGTGATTGAGGTGAAACCACACTTGAATAAGTGGGGTAACAGGGGGCACAGTTTATTTTTCTAGGGTTCCATCTATGCTCTACATTAAAGCATTGTCAGTAAGCAACGTGCAGAGAATACTCAAATGAGTTGTACGATATTAAATTCCACATACAGCTGCTGCCATCTGATTAGAAAACAAATATATTGGGAACAGTGACACCGTCTGCTGCTTGATGACACATTTCATCTCTGGAGATATGCAAATAACTAATCAGGACTGCTTCAAGGTCAAGCACTCTGGGAATTCACGTTTAACATGGCGACTGGCAAAACAAATCAATTTCTCAACCTTAACCTTTCTCACAGCCTCACATGCAATGGGAGTGGAGTAACCATGTGTGTTTTACTGACAGACTGACTCACTGGGGGGTATTGAGAGGTTACATCCTCCCACACTCTTGAATGCATCCTCTGTACAGGGAATCAGATGCAAATAAAGAAGTGACAGATATGGAGCAATGGATGCATAACTAAAACCCCCACAGAACCGGGTGCCAGGCAACAGATGCTGATAACTGCCTCAGATTAGGTCCTAGATTGTTGTCGGCTCAAGCCAAGACTGGGATGCTATATTTACCGCTCTCTCCATTCCTCCTCTGATCGTGTCTGTGCCACTGCGGTGTGTCAATTCCACATTATTTCTGGCAGGGAGATCCAGGTGTGAAAATGAGATGAAATATTCATTCTGAATGCCAAAATACTTTAACTGAAGCAGAAAATGATTCGGCACAAGAGGGAGAGATTGAAGTTTTGTAGTATTAATTATATTATTGAGACCCCAGATGTTTGGGGGTTGGCGTTTACAGTTTTTAAGGGAACTTTTGAAACATTTTATTTTAGTGGAACCTGAAACATCTTTACGACAGCTGAGGGGACCCAATCTGAGGTGAACATTATACTTAAGGGTGTATAATCTTATTCGTTTCAAGCAGCTATTTTTAAAATCAAAGTGTGTTTTTCATGAGTATCCATTACTGTGAGCTAAATGGGATTCTTCTGTTTGGACATGGATTTAGAACCTCATTGAAAGCCAGGACACCTTTGGCTAAATCTAGCTATGGACTTCACAAAAACAACCCAGTCAGTGATTATGTCAGCAGAGATGAGAAGAGAGCGTGGGGGAAGATTGGTGTGAAAAGAAAAAAGAACACAAATTAAGTTTTGCTGACACAACAACATTTTGACTTGTGTCGTTCTTTTGAAGATTTTTAGGACTGCAGGGTTTCAGCATCACATCTTTTTTAAACAATATTAACAATGGCAATTGTTATACAAAATATACAAAACTGTGTTGGAGAAAGTATTAAAAAAAAAAATGAAAAAACATGTTTGGCAAAGGAAGGACACAGGACAAAGACCTTGAGGACAGAGATCTCCACAGCAGTCAGTCTGCGGGCTGAGCAGAGCAGCTTAATGAAGAGCCTGAAATAGAGACTCTCTATTAGGGCTAAGGAGGCTCCCTGCACCATCAGCCTATCAGGAGCGACAATTGCCTGACTTGGCTCTCTGTATACCCTCAAGATAGCATAACATAGGGACGTGGTTATCAAATAGCGCAAAGATGCTGAATAGCGATAGATAGGAGGCTCTAGTGCCGACACAGAAGTAACTTCAAGTAATATTGCAGTCCAACAGATAAAATGTACCCATCTTTTTTGCTCTTAAATTGCAGTATAACGATTTAAATCACTGTATGAGTATTTGGCTGCCAATTACATGCATATATGACAGGACATGGAGCACATTGCCAACATTACATGCAACCAATAACAGTAAAAGTGCTGGACTGTCCATTATGCTTATCCATGGTGAAAAGACTGGATCTTATGAACTAATCTCTGCATGTTTATCGGGTGCCAATACCACTTTGGTTACTTTAATTTGAGTTGTGGAAGCATTGCTCTCTACTGGTGACTCTAATGTATTACAATCCTTAACAGACTTGTATATTCAGATCCATTCAAGATGAATACCTCTTATGAGTTTTGTCACATGGCATCTGGAGCTCTTTGTCGAACAGCTGACAAAACCACAGAAACAACAAAATAGCTTTGATCCCCCTCCCCCTACCCACTATAAAGTTAGACCTCCAAAGCCAACTTTATGTTTTCTGTGCTACTAATAAGAGACAGGAGTTGTGGGAAGTCTGTTTCTTTGATTTATAAATAAACCTAACCGTAAAACATGTTTCTGGTCTGAGAGTTATCAGTGCCTTTTGTTTGAGCTGGCTGCTATATTAGCTCTTAGCGTCTACTGTCTGTAAAGCTTGTGATTTCCCAGGTGAACTCAGAAACCCATTGACTTTTATCCAACAGCACACAGCCTTCCTGTAGCTCTGCAGACTATAGGCTTCTCTATATCTTGCTATGAATATGCCACCAGATGGCAGTCAATAATACTGTAATCCCACAAATCCAAAATGCAATTCAAGGGATGCTTTCAATTGAATAATTAATAATGTTGGAATAGTTCTAACAAATGGTCTCAATAGATGGTTTATATGGTGACATTTTCTCTGCAAGATGAAATGAACTATGGATTTAGTTTTTATGATGTCATGATTATTTTCTCTGCCTACCATCTGGTTTTTTGTTACATGCTGCAATATTTATAATATATTTGTTCTTGTCTGTGCATGGCCTTCATACCTGTATTAAACATGGATTGAAATGCTGCTTAGTCCTTACACTGTGTATCAATAACTTTCCTATAATTCACAAAATAGTTAATGATACTGTTCAAATAATGTTAATCCTTTAAGAATATATAACTACGAATATTTAGTTCAAAACATTAAAAGGTATCCTTCCACCACTGCTTATGCTTCATTTAGAAAATATATAGACGTTTTTGTTCAATCCAACATATTAATGTATCAAATTATAAATAAGTTTTACAGAGATATGGAAATAATCATAACAGATGACAACAACACCAGTAACGTGTATACACGTGACAGTCACTAGACACCATCACATATAATTTTGTCCGGAGAAATTGCATGCTGAAAGTCATTACGACCCATAAGAAACTTCTTAAGAAGAGGCAGGCACTTGACAAATACTTAACAAAGAAATCCAACCAAAATCCAAGAGGTGGTACGTCACTGGCCTCGCCCCTTTTCCCAGAAGCTTGCCTCTCATTGATCAGGGAGCCGAGCTCCGCCTCGCCTATTGGTTAGCTGAGCTTTCAGTTAGAACAGTGTTTGGCCGCTAACTGTTCCGTTGCATCGGGATCAGAGGACGCAAATCAAGTGAAACAAATCTCCTGACAGGAGAAAAGTTCATGCTGGAGTTTTTAAAGACCTCAGAGGGCCTCATGAAGGTAAGAATATCCACAGAAAACGTTTTTGTGTCGGCGGTTTCAAACCGGAGACGATAATCTGTAGTGTTTCACCGTCTTTTAGTCACTTTCTGCTCCTAAAGAAAAGAAAAACAGAAAAGTAGTCAACGCTACAGGCCGAACCTTTTGCACCGCATCTTCTTAAGATTAAATGTCACGTAGGTGTGTTGTGTTTGTGCTATACACTACAGTTCAAATACATTAAAGATGTATCATTACAAACATATTTTCAGCGAAGAAGAAAGGCGGTAGCGGCATGTCAACACACCAGTCAGGCTGCTGAGGATCACTGATCTTAAGTGCTGAAGTGCTGGTTAAATTCATGTACTGTAGTTGAAGTTGTTAAATAACGTGTATTTACTCAGTAGTGGCAACATACTAGTTTAATGCATTCGTTGTTTAAAGACTGCATCAAAAGCCAATTGGCTGCAAACTGTGAGTAGCCTAAGTGACCTACAAAATAAATAGGTTTGTTGCCAAATCCAATTTAGCTGGCAGACATGCTGAATCTGGTCAGCCATCCTGATGACCAGAACACGGAAGCTGAGAGACCTCTGCTGCTGTACTTCCCCCCAGTTGACCCTCATCTTGTGGCCAAGTCTGTGACCTGAATTCATGCACACAGTGTATCCCCCCCCCC